AGGGTTTAGGGTTTAGGGTTTAGGGTTTAGGGTTTAGGGTTTAGTGTGTGGATGAATATTACAATCTAAACAACCATTTTTTTTCGTGTTTAGGGTTTAGGGTTTATGCTCTCTTCTTCAGAACTCAAGTGTCTAGGGTTTATTGTTTACTGTTTAGGGTTTATGAGGGTTTAGGGTTTACGAGGGTTTACGAGGGTTTACGAGGGTTTGTGTGCAGGGGAGCATTTCATTCCTAGCGAGCTGATGCGGCGCTACCGAAGGGTTCCTTATGTGCCTCTTCTTGTCTGTCCCCTAGTACCTCTCTCTTCTCCTTCTTCTTCTCTTTCTTCTTCTTCTCTCTCTTCTTTATCTTCTTCTTCTTCTTTATCTTCTTCTTCTTCTTCTTCTTCTTCTTTGTCTCCTTCTATATCTTCTTCTTTATCTTCTTCTCCTTCTTCTTCTTTATCATCATCATCTTTATCTTCTTCTTCTTCTTCTTTATCTTTACCTTCTTCTTCTTCTTCTTCTTCTTTGTCTCCTTCTGTTTCTTCTTCTTCTTCTTCTTCTTTATCTTCTTTTTCTTCTTCTTTATCTCACCCCTCTCCCTCTCCCTCTTCTCTCTCTCCCTCTTCTCTCTCTTCTCTATCTTCTCCCTCTTCTCTCTCTTCTTCTTTTTCTTCTTTTTCTTCTTTATTTCCTTCTCTTTCTTCTCTACATCCCTCGGACTTGCTACTAAAAGTATTAAACACAAAAACCCTAACCGTGGCTTCTTATGGGCCCCCCCCTAAACAACAGCACCCAGAGGGCCCCCATCGAGCCTTTAAGGGTTTTGATTGGGGAGATGAAGGAGATTACTCGAGGGATCCACCCGCTGGTGAGGGTTTAGGGTTTACGAGGGTTTAGGGTTTACGGGGGTTTAGGGTTTGGGGGGGTTTAGGGTTTAGGGGGGTTTAGGGGTTAGGGATTGGGGAGATGAAGGAGATTACTCTAGGGATCCACCTGCTGGTGAGGGGTTAGGGTTTAGGGTTTACGGGGGTTTAGGGTTTAGGGTTTAGGGTTTGGGGGGGTTTAGGGTTTGGGAGGGTTTAGGGTTTAGGGGTTTTTAGGGTTTAGGGGGTTTTAGGGTTGTAGTATATGTTTAGTGTGTGTGGTAGAGTGTGTTTCGGTGTATGTATTTAGGGTTTAGGGTTTAGGGTTTAGGGTTTAGGGTTTAGGGTTTAGGGTTTAGGGTTTAGTGTTTATCTGGCGTTTGCTTGTTACGAAAACCCCCCCAGCATAAAAAAAACAGAAATACATCTTACACACAAACACACACACAAACACACACACACACACATACATATATATATATATATATATATATATATATATATATATATATATATATATAT